TTGTATTCTGCAGTGACTATAGAATTTGGTTTCAAACTTCACAACCCTTCAGCTTGTTGTTTAGTATACATGAGTAACCAAAATAATAGTTATAAGTATAATTACATTGATTTGCTCATAGCATTATGGTCTACTGTTTTAGAGTCCCTGGGGAACGAGATTGTAACTTACTTGTATTTTGAACCAAGTAAGCAAGACTTAAGCAGAATTTAACTAGAAACTTTGTTTAAACAAATTCATATTATACACAGAAAAGTATATTAAAAGAACACTATTAAGGTTGCAAAGTGAAGCAATCAAGTACAGAAATATAAGAGTTAAGGTTGCCTGTGCAATCTTAATACAGTCTTGTGCATATATACTATGGTACATGAGCACATCACATTTGTTTCCCAAGGCACACATACCTCATTCAGTGCACAGAATGGATGCTGCTCACTTAATGAGCAGCTATTCAATATTTTGTTTTCCTCTCTTTGTTCAATGTGCAGTCCTAGGCCTTATTTATTGCTCACTATTCAAAACTTTTTTATGGCTGTGATGGGACCTAACTGCCCATCACCTGTAAGGCTAGTGATTGCGCACAGTTACTCATGCTTTGCTCCTGGGAAGGTGAGTAGCTAATTAGCTCCTGCCAGAGAGGGTGGAACTAAGCCAAACTAAATAGATTGAAGTCCCTCAGTTGAGGGAAAGGTGGCATAGGAGCCAGATCTCTCTGGCTGAGAGAAACCCATGGTTAGCATACAGAAAGTCAAGGGGGGGCTCCTGTAATAGAAATCTTGAGATATGGTTTGTAAGCAGAGAAAATTTCAGTATGTCATAAAGCAGAACTCTTCCATTTTGTTTGGACTTGTTACCCAGAAGGGGTCTGAACTTAGATGACATGGCTGGAGGGTTGAGAAACAGAACACCTGGTGCCAGAAGCAGGTGGGCAGCAGGAGGGGCTGAAGCTGAAGGTTTTAGCAACATCCTGCACAAATGCAAAGAGGCACTGTAAGGGTGAGAGTGTGCTGCCTCAATGGCACTCATCACTGTAGCACCCGAGTGCTTCACAAACATGAATTCCTGTTTACAACAGGATGACTGGTTATTATCCCCATTTTATGGACGGGGGAACTGAGGCACAGAGACTAAGGTTAAAAGTATATACTACTTTTTGGTGCCGAATGTGAGACACCTAGGGCCATATTTTTCACAGTACTTAGCATCATGTAGCACTTTGTATGTTTAAAGCAGTTCTCCCATTGACTTCAGTTGCTGTTTTGGGCGCTCAACACTTCTGCAAATCAGACCGAAGGGTCTCCAATGAGGCACTGATAAAATGAGGAAAACTCAATTAGTGATCACCTGTGAAAAATTGAGTTTAAGTGACTTGCCCAGTGTCACACAGGAACTCTGTGGCAGAGACAAAAATAGATTCCAATTCTCCAGGGCAGCATTCGGCTGCTTTAGCCATTAGAATGTCCTCTCTGGGTTGTGCAGTAGCCTGCCTCATTCACTTCACACCTTCCAACTTCTTCAACAAAGGGTCTTACGCACAACAGTCTCCTTTACTACACAGCCCTAATTCATCCCCAGTGCAGGTCCACCCTGTGCAATGAATGACGCATGGCTCCTGTGGAAAAATAGTGTGGGATTGCATAATTAGAATGTATGATAATGGATATGCAGAAGGGGGTAGAATTAAGGTTGTACAGGCTCTCTGTTTTCAGTTCCAGTGCATAGCCTGGAACAGCTATTGTGTGGAAAGTCTGGCTTTGACGTTGTAGCCCTGGGTTGGAAGAGGCATGCTCAGTTGCTCTTTGGGGATGGTACACATACAGTAGAATCAATATTAGGAGCTGTGAGAGACTTGACCATGGTCGGTGAAGGTGGAATTTTGGGGGAATTTTAGCTGTCAAGTTCTAACAACTCTCTACTGGGCATGTGCAAACTGCTATTTTAAAAGGCTTATCGGATGACCAAATTTGGACAGATTTTCACAGGGATAGCAAAACACATAACCCTGATACAAAGACTATCCTCCTGTCAAATTTCAAATCCCTGCTCCAAAGCAAGGGGACACTAACGCTTCCCACAGAAAAGGTTGCTTTGATTTTTTTTCTAACATTGGAAAAACAATGTATTTTTCCCCTACACTTGTTCTCAGAAGTGGCTAAACTGTTTTGGCTAAATTTTCCAAATCAATTCAGCCTGAAGCAGACAGCCAGCATTGAAAACTTTAGCCCAAATGGGTAAAGTTTGGAAAAGTTATAAGTAAATGAAAATACTGTCTTAATGGGAAGTGTCAGTCAACCTTCCCACCAATAATATTTTAACTCCTGAATTTTTATTATAAGTCTACTGATACTTTGTGTTTTTCTTGAAGCCCCAGATTCCACAGAGAAGTTTTTAAGCTTGCATTTTTAAATAGTACCTACTGGTTACAAAGAAAAAACTTGAAAACTGAATTCTAAAGCCTCAAACACAAAACCAAGTAAAAAAGTAAACAAAGTTTGAGATTCTTTTCTACAAAATCTCATGACTTAAGCCAATCTCATGAATTGCTGGAGCCAGACTCAAGATTTTTGAATGCATGGGGTCAGCAGTACCGCGTATTGGCTCTCCTCCATCATGGTCTTCCAAAGCTTCTTGGTTCCTATTTTAAGACCCTTGTAGTGTTTTCAAGCATGTGTTGTGTTCACTCACTCCATGAACAGAATATTTCCTATATATATTTCCTATAGAAGGCTAGATTTTGACCAATTGTAATGCAGTTGTACATGGGAATAAGCCTGCATGGTTATGTTATGGTCACTATGGCTGGGATTCAGGGAGAGGAAGATTCCATGCCTGCTATCAGCAAGTGAAGAGAGACTAGAGTCATGGTTCAATCCTTCCTAAGTGTCAGCTCGCAAACCTGGCCAGATGTGGTGGAGAGTAAGCTTAACTGAGTTCACCACTTTTTGGAGTTACCATCTTAGGCCTTGTCTACACTACAGGGATAAGTCGACCTAAGCGACGCTACTCCAGCTACGTGAATACTGTAGCTGGAGTCAACGTTGCTTAGGTCGACTTACCACGATGTCTACACCGGGCTGGGTTAATGGGAGACACTCTCCTGTTGACTTACCTTATGCTTCTCGTTCTGGTGGAGTACCGGAGTTGATGGAAGAGCGATCTGCAGTCGATTTAGTGGGTCTTTACTAGACCCACAAAATTGACCCCCAGTGCATCAATTGCCGCAGCGTTGATCCCCGGTAAGTGTAGACATGCCCTTAGTTTCTTCCCATCTCACCAGGACAAGAGGGGAGTGGAAACTTCCCAGTTCTCTTACGACAGCACAGCTGCATGCCATCCCATACTCAGAGCTGAGCTTAAGAATTTCACTTATGTTCCAAATAGGCTGAGTTATAAATTAGAAGAAAATACTATCGCACTCTATTATGACAAAAAGCATTTTAAAAAACAACCCTTCTTAAAGCAAGCACAGGCTCACAATTAAATGAACAATTCAGAATTTTAGTATATAATTCCTAGGTTGTTCAACAGATCAATTCAATACATTTATAAATAACCATATTTAAAGAAAATGCTGTTATTAACAAAAAAATAATGTTACTACTGATGTGATATACTACAGCATGGACATGCCATGCAAGTTTACATAGGATTTAAAAAAAAATCTTATTTTCAATTTCTGGATTTTCAACCCAGATCAGTAAATTGTGAGATGCTTTTCCAAGATGCACTGTAGCTATATCATTGGTACATCTGCATGATTACTCTTAAAAGTCTCAGTGGTGGCTGCTCTCCTAATGAGCCAGGATAAAAATCATTAAAAAGTAATTGTGTGCAGGTTTTACAGATAAGCCTCCACTCTAGGACAAGGCAATCTTGACAGATTGCAATATTTCCAAGGCAATATACTCCTCCCTTCCTGTTTAATGAGCCATAGATTTTTAATCTGGGAAATGTTGGTGCTAGGCAAAAAGAATGCACAGGAGGTATTGTCTGCACATGCCTCCTTGCTCTATGTATTGCAAAGTTGTAATCAATACAGGAACAGATAAGGTCTAAACCCAATCTCTAGACTCCTCCAGAATACCGAATTTCCATCTACATATCTTGTTTTCGTAACACTTGTCATTGTACCAGTCAGAATGAATGTTTTTGAACAGACCTTATTGCTGCTGAGGCCCCTCATATTAGTGAAATTTCTGTTTATTCAAACAATGGTATTGTTTTTTTAAAAAAAGTTTGGGTTACGTAAAGGCGGTGACTTGCACTAAAGCTAATTCATAATCACCAGCTAGTAAGACATTTACAGAGGAACAGTATAAGAGGATAAAAATATGTCCACTTATTAAAAATATAACAAAACATTACATAAGAAATGCAGCTATAACATGGATAAATAAAAATAAAGATACGCACCCAGGCATAGCAAGGAAGAGAGAATTAACAAAGGGGTAAAGGGTCAAGATAAGAAAAATTTTGCTGGAATTAAAATATTACAAAATATCATGCACAATAAACTATAATGCAATGCTTACTGCTATAATACTATATAAAACTATCTGTCCCCTCCCCAAAAAAACCTTCCTTGTGAAACAGTTAAGTTTGATACACATGATCTACCAAAACCTCAAAGGTAAAGGAATGAAAATGTAAGTCATTTCAAGACACATATCCTTTGTTTTTCAACCCACAGACCAATACCATACCACTACCACAGTACACCACAGATCACACACTATCACCTTAACGCTGCCACTGTAGCTATGCCAGCCTTCTAGCACCCACTTAATCAAACTACCTTCTCCAAGGCAGTGCATCAGACTACCCTGGAACTTTCCTTCCTGCACATTTCACTCATACCCCTTCCCAACACTATATGTAGATGTGCAATGTATAGTTTGGTGTCTTGGAAGGGGGATTAATTAAAAAAAAATCTTTAAGCATTAGATGTCAGACTTGCATACAAATCCACTAAATCCCTGTTTCTGTCTTCACAACAGGGTCTTCAAGCCTTGAAATGGCAATCAGAAGCAGTCTTGGACCAGTGAACTTTCCAGGAAAGATACCCACACCTGCTGCAGACCATGTATGCTGGGTGAAGCTGTGGAGTACCTTAAAGGGACTTTAAAAGCTCCTGCCATGGGAATTCCCTTCCCACAGGAATTGAGCAAGACATTCTCAGGCTGCCTTCTGAGGGACCCCTTGGCAAACCCCGGTGAGACTCTAACCAGTATTCCTTCTCTCTCAAATAGACACTTTGAGAGGTTTTGACTAACTTTGCTTTGCATAATCACTCAATTCCACATCATTGCCTTTTGCTTTATTGTGATTCCTTTCCTTTTGTGTGTTTCTAGTGATAACGTTTCTAATCTTTGGCATGAATTTCCTAGTGTGTTTGCTATGGTACTGAGCAGGTTGAGTTCTCTTTATATCAAACTCTGAACCTTGTTCAAATCTGTGTAATGGTGGACAGCTACAGGGTCATGTTAACACTGTTGACTCTTTGGGCCCATGTATTGCATCTAACTAAATACAACTGCAGGCATATCTCACTGGGAGATTTGAAGCCAGGTGACAATTTTCACCTGGAGACAGAACTCATGTTGTGGACAGGCTGCAGAGTGGTAGCAGTGTTAGTCTGTGTTATCAAAAACAACAAGGAGTCCTTGTGGCACCTTAGAGACTAACAAATGTATTTGGGCATAAGCTTTTGTGGGCTAGAACCCACTTCATCAGATGCATGGAGTGGAAAATACAAGAGCAGGTATAAATACATGAAAGGATGGGAGTTGCCTTACCAAGTGTAAGGTCAGTCTAACGAGACAATTCACTTAACAGCAGGATACCAAGGGAGGAAAGATAACTTTTGAAGTGGTAATCAGAGTGGGCCATTTCAGACAGATGACAAGAAGGTGCGAGTAACAGTAGGGGGAAATTAGTTCGGGGGAAATTAGGTTTAGGTTTTGTAATGACCCAACCACTCCCAGTCTTTATTCAGGCCTAATGTGGTGGTGTCCAGTTTGCAAATGAATTCCAGTTCTGCAGTTTCACATTGGAGTCTGATTTTGAAGGTTTTTGTTGTTGAAGAATTGCCACTTTTAGGTCTGTTATTGAGTGACGAGAGAGGTTGAAGTGTTCTCCTACTGGTTTTTGAATGTTATGGTTCCTGATGTCAGATTTGTGTTCATTTATTCTTTTGCGTAGAGACTGTCCGGTTTGGCCAATGTACATGGCAGAGGGGCATTGCTGGCACATGATGGCATATATCACATTGGTAGATGTGCAGGTGAACGAGCCCCTGATGGTGTGGCTGATGTGGTTAGGTCCTGTGATGGTTTTCCTTGAATAGATATGTGCACAGAGTTGGCACCGTGGTTTGTTGCAGGGTTTGGTTCCTGGGTTGGTGTTTTTGTTGTGTGGTGTGTAGTTGCTGGTAAGTATTTGCTTCAGGTTGGGGGTCTGCCTGTAAGTGAAAACTGGCCTGTCCCCCAAAGTCTGTGAGAATGAGGGATTGTCTTGATAGAGATCCTGTAGGTGCTTGTAGTCCACATCCATAGTGGCTAGGATGATGTTTTCTACAATCCTTTGGTGATCTTCCAGAAAACACCATCCTAGCCACTATGGATGTAGAAGCTCTCTACACAAATATTACACACAAAGATGGACTACAAGCCATCAGGAAGAGCATCCCTGATACCATCACGGCAAACCTGGTGGCCTAACTTTGTGATTTTATCCTCATGCACAACTATTTCAGATTTGGAGACAATTTATACCTTCAAGTCAGCGGGACCGCTATGGGTACCCCCAGGGCCCCACATTATGCCAACATTTTTATGGCTGACTTAGAACAACACTTCCTCAGCTCTCGTTCCCTTACACGCCTACTCTACTTGCACTACACTGATGACATCTTCATCATCTGGACCCATGGGAAGGAGGCCCTTGAGGAATTCCACCAAGATTTCAATGATTTCCATCCCACCATCAACCTCAGCCTGGACCAGTCCACATAAGAGATCCACTTCCTAGACACTACGGTACTAATAAGTGATGGTCACATAATCACCACCCTATACCGGAAACCTACTGACAGCTATACTCACCTACATGCCTCCAGCTTTCATCCAGACCACATCACGATCCATTGTCTACAGCCAAGCTCTAAGGCCTTGGCTACATTGGCGCTGTACAGCGCTGCAACTTGCTGTGCTCAGGGGTGTGAAAACGCACCCCCCCTGAGCGCAGCGAGTGCAGCACTGTAAAGAGCCAGTGTAATCAGCACCTGCAGTGCTGCATGCTCGCTCGCAGCGCTGCAAGCTATTCCCCTCGGAGAGGCACGTTCGCTCGCAGCGCTGCAAGCTATTCCCCTCGGAGAGGTGGAGTACTTGCAGTGCTGCGAGAGAGCTCTCGCAGCGCTGGCGGCGCAACTACACTTGCGCTTCACAGTGCTGCCGTGGCGAAGTGTAGCCAAGGCCTTAGATACAACCGCATTTGCTCTGATCCCTTAGTCAGAGACAAACACCTACAGGATCTCTATGATATATTCTTAAAACTACAATACCTACCTGGTGAAGTGAAGAAACAGATTGACAGAGCCAGAAGGGTACCCAGAAGTCACCCACTATAAGACAGGCCCAACAAAGAAAGTAACAGAACGCCACTAGCCATGACCTACAGCCCCCAACTAAAACCTTTCCAGTGCATCATCAAGGATCTACAACCTAGCCTCACACTCACAGACCTTGGGGGACAGGCCAGTGCTCCACAAGGATTATTTGTTGTTCATACTGTTGAGATGTATATAGAGAATATGAAGCAATTGGCATGCAGGTTACATGAGGATGTGTGGAACTTTCTAAGGAGCAGGAGAGGATAAGCTAGAGTTGGCAGGAAGTTACTTTTCTTTTCCAGGTTATCCATAAAGCCAATGGGTGATTACAGCTCACTGAGTTCAATTTAAGGGAATTTCTGTTAGACAATGGGCAGAATTTTTTCTCACACCACCTTTACACCAGTGTAAATCATCTACCTTAATGGACTGCTGATTTAAACATGTGTGGGAGAAGACTCTAGTTCAGATGACCAATTTTTACTCTCATTTACACCTGTGTAATTCTGGAAAAATTGTGCCATCAATGGAGTTGCTCTAGGATTTAAAGTAATAGAAATATTTTCAAATGTTTTCTATGCTGACCAACCCATTATTTTTCGATTTTGTGTTGACACCTCTCCCTGTGATTTTGTCCTCTAGACTAGAATGCAAAGAATTGCATAACCCAGGGATCGGCACCCTTTGGCTCACGGCCCATCAGGGAAAGCCCCTGGCAGGCTGGGACGGTTTGTTTACCTGCAGCGTCCACAGGTTTGGTCGATTGCAGCTCCCACTGGCCGCGGTTTGCCGTTCCATGCCAATGGGGGCTGCAGGAAGTGGCAGCCAGCACATCCCTTGGCCCTCGCCGCTTCCTGCAGCCCACATTGACCTGGAACGGCAAACCACGGCCAGTGGGAGCTGCGATCAGCCGAATTTGCGGACGTTGTAGGTAAACAAACTGTCCCAGCCCGCCAGAGGATTTCCCTGACAGGCCGCGTGCCAAAGGTTGCTGATCCCTGATTTAATCCCTCCAGGTAAAGAGCTTCAGTTGCTGGCTGCTTCTGTAAGCCTCAAACTCAGCTTGAATATTGGAGTTTTAAATAGCCTTCTGGGTTCTTTTGTGTGTGTGTGTGTGTGCGTGTGTGTGTGCTTTAAAGAGAATTAAAAGAGAATTTGTTAAAAGTCAAGAGGGTAAAAAGAAAAATAGACCATGATTTATAAATAAAATCACTGTCTTATTAGTGGTGCTAAGGCTCATTATAAAGATGGTTGAGATTTGAAAGAGGACCTTTCTTCCCCCTCAACTTCTGAGGCCAAAGTCAGAGCATTCTGTTACAATTAAGGAGATGTACTTTGTCTAGTATCTAAGGACAAGAAATTCAAAGAGCACTTGCTATTCAGTCAAATATAACAGTGTCAGTGAATTTGGTTCTTATGGATGAATACATCATGTTATCTGATCTAAAAAATTCTCTCGTGCCACAGTACAGAGATAATATAAATGTATTTTATAAAAGCAGCATTTTTCTAAATTACCCTTATAATGTAGAAAGTAATGACTTGGCTCTTGTTAGCTAGACACTCTGTTTATAATCATAAGAGAAGAAAGATTGTTTAAAGTAGTAGACTGAGAGCAGGTTTAACTTTTATCCTTTGCTGCTGTGGAACTCCTGTGTCACCTTTGGCAAGTCTTTAAATTGCCTCAGTTTCCCTTTGTATAAAATAAGGATAAGATTTCCTTACATCTTTACACTGTGAGGATTAAGACCCCAATCCTGCAATAAACTCCACAGTTTGTCTCCTGTCCAGCAGTGGTCCCTACCTCTTCAGTGCTCATAAAACACTGAGCTCTTCAGGTGGATTGTGCTATGTTAGTGCAAAATGACATGTATACTCAGTGAAAGTATTTGGTCCCTATTTGCATATTTAATATGCTCCTAAGGATCAAAATATTAAAAAAGGATATACAGATTACATAATTAAACATTTACCAACCTTAAAACTAATCTCATCTGAACATCCATTTCTACTACTATTGATCTTAAAAGTTTCAGCTGAGGGGATATATTTTAATTATTCATCTTTATTCTGTGTTCATTCCTCCAGCTACATAATTTCTAAGATCACCTATGTGTCACTGACCTATAGGAAAATACTGTCAATTTGTAATAACTCATACTCCTGTGCACTTATTTTTTTCTGATCTGCTCCCTGGAGGATTCAGCCTTTATGTACTTAATTGGTGACATTTACAACAGTCCCCAATGTTCACTAATGTTGGCCATTATAAATTGCACACTGAAAGTTATTGATTACTGAGTTCCTCCATGCAGCTGGGCATGCTTGGTGAGGCTTAGAGATCAGAAGTTTTCTGGAGCCCCAATTGTTCACTCTCCTGCTCCAGCCCTACCTCCAAACAACCAAACTAGTCCTGCAGACTGTGCTTTGAGGGGTAGAAGAATATACAGACACCATGGGTCCAATGACACTACATAATTCTTCCGTCATAAATCTGTTGCCCTTTATTTGACTTTTACACAGCTGAGGAACATGTGAAAACTTTACTGCTGATTTCACCTATGGATCCACTAAGGGTTTGACTGGGAGCACTCTGATCAATG